GGAGAGAACCTGCTGGAGGGCCAGGAAGCTGCCTGCTGGTGGACCAGCCAGGAGTCTGCTCACAGCAAGAAGACAGGCCGGAGCGAGGCTGCACCCCAGGAGTGGGGAACAGGGCCATGAGGGAGACCTGAGAGAAGTGTCCTGGGTTGGGGTATGGCTGCTCAGTTTGTGAAAATCCAGCAGGCCCTATACTCCTGCTCACGGCATGTGCCTGGTCACGTCTGCGTGTCACCTTTTGACAGCCGGTTTAGGAAGACAGAGACAGGAGCATGGGGCCGGGTTAGAAGCTCTCCTCCATCCCTGTCCTCCTCCAGGACACTGAAATGCCTTTCAGAATTTCTCCTGCTGGTGGGTAGGAGACCGTCCTACAAACAGTGGCATGCCGTCATTCATGTAACTAATTAGCAGCGTCGATTTCTTAGAAGTTCATGACATACCAGTGCGGTTACAATCCATGGCGTCTTAACCGTCAAGAGATGGGCCATTGCGGGCCAGGCTCTCAGCTGAGCCCTGTGAAGACTGCCTCTGCGGGCCAGGCTCTCAGCTGAGCCCTGTGAAGACTGCCTCGTCTGCTCTCACAATGGCCGTGAGCTACTCCCTGCTGTCTGGCCGCTGTGGTTAGCTCTGTCTCTCCGTGGAGAAGCTGAGGCGACTGGGACCAAGCGTTGGTTGGCCAAGGAACCAGGAAGGACTAGACTTTGGATCTCAACCTGGCCTCCCATCTTTGGGAGGAACTCTGTACACCACACCCCCAGACCAATTAACCGTAAAAGAGAGCTCAAAGGAGCTTTCCGGCTGTTCTTTTCCAAGACAGATGGGTTTGTCCTTTCAGCAGTCCATGATACTTTCAAGGCTTTTCCAGCATCATAATGCACATGCATAAATTCTTCTTCTGTCTTCCTTGTTCAGAGTCCAGCTTTCAGGTGGAGAGGAGGCCATGGAGACTACCGTGGCTTGGCTCCGGGGCGTCTTAGACCTCAAAGTAACATCCTTGCTCTGCAAGACTCTAAAGAGGTTCTGGGCCACAGATTGACCCAACACAGTGCGTCCGTTGATCACTGGACTGCTGTGTGCATGAGCAGTGATTGTGGATCCAAGTAAGACGAGGTGCTTGACCCCTGCAGTGCTTCCCCCTGTATCATGAGGGTCTCGTTGTGAGGACTGGGTCGTCTTTACACTGAGTTGTCATCCACACTGAAGGCTGCACTCCTTGATCTTCTTCAGCAAGTGCTTCAAGTCCTCCTCGCTTTCAGTAAGCGAGGTTGTGTCGTCTGCACATCACAGGTTGTTAACAAGCCTTCCTTCGATCACAAGAGCAATGCTTACAGAAGCTGACTGCCGCTCTTTCTCCCTCCCGGGGTGGCTGCTGGGTTCCGACAGTTGACCTTTCAGTTGGTGTCACCACCTTCCTGACTTTGTTTACATCCTGGGCAGGTGGAGCTAGAAATGTCTTTCCTTCCCAAAGCCCCAGACAACCACATCACCCAGCTGCCCGCCCTCCATCTTTCGGTTATTCCTGTGCCCGCCAGCCAAGTCCTGGGAGAGGTCTGGACCAGATGGGCACAGTGGCTGGAATGAAGGCCCAGGGGAAAGTGGGGTGGGGAGGTAGGGCTTTCTGAGCCAGCTGGTTTCCCTCACACAATGCCAGCTTGGTTACATGGGAATTAGGATTAGCGCCGGATCTCGCCTCTTCTGGCAGGCTGGTAATGAACTCATCTCCTCTCCGGGCTGCCAGGGTGGCAGGATTCCACCAAAGCCAAGAGACAGGCTGAAGGCTCAGCCGAGCAAACCTGGGAAGTAATTGTGTTACTGATGGGCCCTGCCCACGCCGCTGAAGCTGACATGCAGCCTGCAGCACCTTCTACGAGCCCAGGCCTCTAATTTCGTTTATGTGTGACATTCGCCCAGGCTGCATGGCTGACGGGCACGCTTGACATTAATGTGCATTCTGTGCGGTCCCCAGAGCTCACCAAAGCTCATTATCAGGTCTGAGGCCATCGATACAGTTCCCGGTGCAGGACGGGTGGGATGTCTCAGTTCAGCCAAGCCAGGAGACTAGCTGCTCCCTTGGGCTGGGGACTCTGGGAGGCGACCAGAAAAGCTGTTCTATGGGCAGAGGCCTGGGTTCAGACTTACCTCCAGGAACAAGAGCTCCTGCAGCTCCTCTAAGGGGCCTGGTGGCACCTTGGGCTAGGCATTGGACTGCTAACCAACCTGGTCGTGGGTTCAAACCCACCAGCCGCTGTGCAGTAGAAAGAGGTTGCCTGGAGTCATCAAGCATCACCCTCTCAGAAACCGTGCGAGGGTGGCTCTGAATCCGAACAACGCTCCCAGACATGGCAGCAGGCGTGAGGGTGGTGCAGGGAGCGGGCGGAGTCTCCTTCTGGCTCACGAGGGTCGTGAGGAGTGGAGACTGGCTCCCAGCACCTCACCACAACAGGCGTCAGTGGATTCGAGGGCAGTGGGTTTGGGCTTGGGTTGGGTTGCTTCTGCTCCACTAGAGGAAGGAACCCAGACCCACGCCATCGAGCCGGTTCCAAGTCTCCGGGGAGTAGGGCCTCCCCACAGAGCTCTCTGGAGTTCCCCGTATCTTTACGGAAGGTAGCCACTTGCCAGGCCTTTATTCCGCAGCACCACCAGGCGGGTTTGAACCGCCAGCCTCTAGACTCGTAGTCAGGTGCACAGTACATGTGCCACCCAGTTGAGGTGAGTTGCTTGGGCGTTTTGAGAAGGCTGCCGGTCTCTCCAGACATGCAGGGTCCCCAGCCTCTACCCCACTTCCAGCTCCTGCCTGGGACATTTCCCACCGTGAGACAGCCTCCAGGGGGTGGCTGCAGCAAGGTTGTCGGGGCCCAAATGGACATCACTCCCGTTTCCACAGTGGGAAAAGTCCATAGATGACGGCCCCCAGGATGGGGGTTAGGGGGTGCAGTGCAGCTATGGAAGAGACTCAGGAAGTCCAGGTGGACATGATGCTGATACCTGACACGGTAGGACGTGTGTAGACACCTCACGGGGGCATGTGTGTGCTCACAGAAGCACATGCACTCACTCACTCACTCACTCACCCGAAAGTGCACACACACACACACACCACAAACACGCATACACGCACGTACACACACACACACACACACACACACACACACACGCACGCACACGCACACCCTGACCCTGCAGTGTCCTGGTCCAGGTCACATCCCATGGCTGTTCCACAGGACGGATACAGGTGGTATAAGGGAGGCCCTTCATCTCTGTCATGAACAACAAACATCACCGCATGTGTGTAGATAGGATCTGGAGGATAGGAGGGGGCACTGGTGGTTCCGAGGAGAATTTGTGCCTGCCAGGGGGCAGTCCCTGGGGGGGCACCGCGTAGACAGCCTCCACCTGTCTGGCAGTGCGGGCCTGGGCAACAATGCTCTGATCCCAGGCGAACTCCAGCTGAGTGTCTGGAAGAAGGCAGCTGAGGAAGGCCGGCCTGGAAATCCAGCCCTGAGACCCCACGTGTTTGTGGGCTGGCTCATCACTGGGTCGTACCTTGTGTGGTGTGTGGGGTGGACGAGGTGGCGGCTCCCACACCAACGACCTCGTCAATACAGACATCAACAGATGCGTGTGTGAGAGTCTCTTCTCAAATCACGGTCGTAGTCTGGCCCATGGTGCACGAGCTACTCCCGGGCAGACAGTGCCTGCTGGACAACAGAGGCAGACACAGACAACCGCAGGGGTTATTCTCTGCCTTTTGGCCATCTGTTAGCAGAGCGCCTGAGACCCCTATAATGCACGGGGTCCACAGGGTTGGCCTGGAACTCACTGGCCCTGGCACTGTGCACACCCCCAATCACTGCACCTATGGCGCTCTACCCAGCTCCGCCCATGCCAGCTGTCCGACTTTGGCCCGCACTGCACTGTTCAGAGTGCCTGGTTCTCACCCCTGATACCTTCCCAGAGGATGGAGAGAGATTCCGGGTCCTCAGCATGACCATGCCCCAAACAGAACATGCCTGTCCAGGGCTGTCCCTGTGGGGCCAGGGCATTGAGAGCAATGGGGCCATCTGGGACAGGGCTCCCCAACTCCGTCCTCACTGCTGGGGGTTTGCTCTTTCACTGCTCAGCTGCACCTATGAACAAGCCCCTCCCTGGGGATTGGCGTTCGTTTGGGCTGGCAGGTCTCTGGGCAGGGCACTGCGAATCTGTTGCCCTCTCTGTGGCCTGTGGCCTCAGCACCACACTGAGGGAGGGGATGGTGGAGACACTCCAAGTCCGAGCTGCATTCACCTCCAGCCCCTAACGAGGCCCCCTGGTCCGCCCGCCCGCAGAGCTGCGCTCCTTGGGATTCAGTGGGAGGCGAGATGGACAAGACTCCCCCTCACGTACTGTGGGCACATTGGCAGGAGAGGCCGGTGCCTGGAGCAGGACATAGTGTTTGGCAAAGTGGACGGGCGGCAAAAAAGAGGAAGGCCCTGGACAAGTTGGATCGACATGGCGGCTGCAACAAAGGGGTCAAACAAGAACAGTTGTGAGGATGGCGCAGGACAGGCAGTGCTTCCTTCTGTTGTGCGCAAGGTCACTCCGAGTCAGAGCTGACTCAGTCACACCTAGCAACAACAACAACAACGATTCCTTCCCTTTCCAGTGTCTCGGCTTGTTCAGTTTTGTGTCCGTTTTTCAACCTGAAGTCGCTGGGGTTCCTACACTGCATGGATGACAGTGTAGCTAGAAGGGGCTCCCTGGGACGTAGTCATCAGCATGTCTCATATCATCACAGAGCCATTGGAAGGCCCCCAGGCTGTTTCTGAATGATTGAAAATCAGCCCCAGCCCACAGGCTCAGGGAACCCCATCCTGGGACTCTCCGGTTCAACTGGGTGCTTGGATCTGGCTTTCCAGAAACGGGCGCCCCATCCAGCTTTGGAAGCCTCAGGGACAGAGGTGACCCCAGAACCCACGTGCCCCACTCGCCTTCTCAATATGTGCTTCTCTGTCTTCTTCCTCTAGAGTGAACCCCAAGGCCGCCATCGACCCCCAAAGACGCTTGACCTGCCTCGGCTGAAAGAAAGACCCCTGCTGAAGGAGGTAGGGTCCAGCTACGTGGAGGGTGGGTCTTAGTTAAGGTGACCAGATTTTAATATTGGTAAAGCGGGACACCATGGATAAAACTCATATCCTGGTGAAATAGCCACATGGCAGCTGAAGACCGTGTACCCTAGCTTGTGGTGCATTCTTTCAAAAAATCGGGACTTTTTAAAAACGTTGCGGGAAGCGGGAAAAATTGTTAAAAACTGGGCTGTCCCGCCAAAAGCAGGACGTCTGGTTGCCTTAGTCCATCAACGTCTTCAGTCGTTCTGAGTGGGAGGGCAGGACGGTGGCTTTGGTGTCCCCCCCCCCCCCCTGCTCTGATTCAGAGGTGGCACAGAGGGCTCCCTCCTGAAGGAGGGACCTCCAGGGAGGTCACAGTTGGAGTTGCAACTCAGCACCCATGCAGGGCGCCAGGGCCTGAGGGTCATGGGGAGGTCCCGGGCCTTTACTGGGCCAAGAGCCCCTGCCCCGCCGCACCCCTGGGCCCCCTCTGCCTCACCCCTCACCCCTTACAGGGAGACTCTCCCTGTTAGGAGGAAATGCTTTCCCAGGGGGAGTTCCTTACCTTCTGTATTAGTCTAGGTACTTTAGAGAAACAAATCCACAGCAACTGATGTATAACAGAGTATTATGTAAAGAAAGTGTGCATCACGAAAACATCCCAACCCAATGCTGCCCAAGCCCACAAGTCCAACATTAACCCATTAACCCAACACCAGTCCAAAAGTCCTCCACCTCACAAAACAGAGGCAATGACGCCGACTGCAGGAGGAAAGCTGAGTCAGTGAACGAACAAGCATCTCAGCACTAGCAGGGGTCTCCACATGGCTGCTCCAGCACCCAGCACTGCAATGGGATAGGTCCATGTAGCTTCTCCTTGGGGATGTCTTGTAGGAAGTCAATCTTGCAAGCTGAACCAGGGAACTGCTAAGGCAGCTGCACCCGGTGCAACCATCACAAAGCAAGGGACCCGAGAACTAGAAAGGCGAGGCTCACCACCCATTTATCCCTCTGCCTTTCAATTAGCCCCACATGTGATTATTGGCCAGGTTGGCACAATTAACTAACTCACCTTCCCCCCACCAGAAGTCTTCTGGCGAAGGTTTCGGTCCACAGAGATTAGGATCAAGCTTCACACCCCACGGAGGGATGGGGACGGAATGCTTCTTGGCCTCTGGGAAGTCCTGCTCACTTCTTGTCACCCAGGCCTCACCGAGGTGGCCTCGTGAGTGAGGCTGCGGAGTGAGGGACTGGGCTCCCGTCACCAGCTTGCCTCAGAGGTTAGCCCTTGGGCCCCGCTTTCTCAGAGTCTGTCCGATGGGGCAACAGCGACTTCCGTCTCCTTCCCACCTCTCAGACCCTCAGTGGAAGCGATTCCAAGACCAGGACCAAGGTTGAGGGAGGGGGCGCCGCCACGAGGAGGGAGGGGCCTTGAGAGCTCCCAGTTCCGACTTATCCAAACCCCAAATCGGGCTTCTCTGCAGGGGCCGAGGCAGACAGCCTCTGTGCTTTCCCCAGGAGGCCTGATGGTCTTGGGCTAAGTGTCCAGCCGGTTCCTGACAGCACCACCACGGCAGCCCGGAGGAGCTCTGGGGCAGCCCTCCTCTCTCCGGCAGCGGGCTGGGAGTGGGAATCCAGGCAGAGAGGTGGGTGCTGTGCTGGGGCATGTTCTGTTGGCTTTGGGGGACAGGATGGAGGAGGCAGAGCCCCCACCCTGCCATCCAGGCAGCTATAGAAAGCCCGTGAGAGCGGGATGCTGTGCGAGTCAGAACCCTGGCAGAGAAAGAAAGTACCAATGTTCCCCATTCAGCAGAGTCATAGAAATATGGTGACTGGCCCCTGCTGACCTGGAAAACATTGGTGACCCGGAAAAACCAGGCTCTCATAGGTGCCGCTGTACTTGATTCTGGGGTGAGATTGGCCCCCCTCAGGCTCAGTCTTCCTGTCTGTGGAATGGGCACGTGTTGCAGCCAGCTGCCAGCGAGCCGATTCCAGCCCATAGCGACCCTATGTATGCACGCCGGCACCTTCCTCACCGTTGTGCCCTTGGGTCCGTGGCACACACCTGTCCCGGTGGTCAAGGCTGGGGGCTGGAGGAGAGCTCCTGTTGTGATTTGAATGATGGCGGCCCCCCAAGGTGACCTCATCCCTTTGGGATGTCAGAGCTGGTGTCTGTGACCAAACAGTGGGGTTGCCCTGGAGATGCGCACCTCGTTCTACTCGAGGTCTAAAAACAGGGCTGAGCGCGGGGCCTGGGCTTTGTCAACTCTCAGTTCTGACACCCCGCTGCTCCGGGGCTGGGGGTGGGACACCTGGGGGTGGGGGGCATCTGTGGGGTGGGGAGCAGCTCTTCGCAAGCCTCGCTGCCCCAGCCCACCCTTCCCTCCTGAAGATCAATGATGACACTTGCTTGTGGCCATTGCTGACTGTCCCCATGTCCTCCTATAAGGGTCCCACAGTGGGAGGCTTGAAAGAGCAGGCTCTGTCTTCTCACACGTCTGGGTCAGCGGGAAGCAGGAATGTGCCGGGCGGCTTTCCAGAGGCCGGGCCCTCTGAGGCTCCTCCTGGGCCTTGGAGCCGCTGGCTGGCTGGCCATCCATACCTGCCTTGGGCTGTGAGTGCATTCTGCACGTGTGGCCGTCACGAGACCTCCACCTTGCCCGCCGTGTGTCCGTGTCTCTACCCTGCTCTTTGTGGCGCAGAAAGGATTTGGTCTCGGATCCACTCTGCTCTGGTGTGACTTCAGCCCCACCCCCCACCCCCACCCACACCCTGTTTCCAAACAGTGTCATGTGCACGGGTCCAGGTTGAGGGTTAAGGCTTCAACAGTTATTAAAGGGACAGGGCACAATTCCATCTGTCACCTGGAGCTATCACTATTTGTTAGTGATAGCTACAGTTTGCAGGTGGGACTAGCTAGGCCCATAGAATAGAACAACCCGAGATCCTTACCCTTGAAATGACCTTGCAGAGCAGAAACCAGCCATACACCTCAGGGGTCTGTGTCTGTGGATGCTCGCGGAATGAAGCCCTCACAGACACTAAATGTCCGTTAATGCTTAAAGACCGGACATGTGCTAGTTGGATGCTTATCTTTATAGCCATCTGAATTTACCAGTGAGGTTCTGCTTCCAATCAGTGATGAGCTGCTAGCAGCAAGACCAGTGGTTCAAATGCACCCCCTGCTCGTGGGAGGAAGGCTGAGGCTGGCTAAAGGTTCCGGTAAAGATGTACAACCTTGGAGACTGTCTCGAGAAGGGCAATAGGAGTCAGAATTGGCTCAGTGGCTGTGCACTGGGTAGCCATTGTATAGAACTTAGAAGAAAATCATTTTTTCAGAGTAGGGTGTTTTTGTTGTTTTTTTCCCTGGCCTTGTTTAGGATTGTTCACTTTTTAAAATTACCTTTACATTGTGTATAAATCCCTTCAGGCAATCCATCCCCTTCCCGCTCTCGCCTTGGACAGGCACCTCCCCCTGCCCCCTCTCTAACTTGTTTCCAAGAGGGTCGTTGCTGGGGACAGGCAGCAGAGGTGGTCCTGGGGCTTGGTCAGAAGACCCCCAAGGTCTCACCACCTGACCAGTGGTTCCGGAGCAGACTAGCCTGAGACGAGCCTCCCAGAGGACCAGGGGAAGCGGAGGCATGGGCTGCGGCAGAGCCTGAAGTCTTGGGAACCTCGCCCATAGCCACCTCAGCTCACAGGGACCCTGTCGCACAGGGTGCAGCTTCCCCTTTGGGTTTCCGAGGCTGTCCATCTTTACAAGCGCAACCAGCCTCCTCTTTTTACCTTGAACAGGCTGGTGGGTTTGAACTGCTGATTTTGCGTCAGTATATGTGTGGCTCCAGTTCCTGGAAGCCGGCGTGGTGGCTGGGGGCGGTGGCTGCCTGCTGGCATCTGGAGTCGTGCATGGAGCTTCCCTGGCGCCTGCATGCCCTGCTGGGTGGTGAGGCGTGCCCCTCCGAGGGTGCCCGCCTGCCCTGCCCAGCGGGACCTCTGTCTCCCTCCCCTGCCCCGACTTTTCCTTTCAGCTGAGTGCTCTGTGCCGGCAGCCATGCTAATTAAAAATCTCATAAATACCAGGAGATAAGGATCCGGGCGGTTTGTTCTTTATTTCTGCCGAGACTCCCTGGAGAAGGTTTGCGGTAGGAAATGTCGCTTCAGAGCTGAGGTTTTCTCCCAGACTTCAAAGACCGGAGACAGGCCTCCTTAGGAACACAACATCTGTCTAAACTGAACCTCAGCCCAGAGGCAGACACAGCCCCTGGCAGAGGATGGACCACAGGCACGAGGCTGTAGAGGCCTGCATTCTGCCCCTGCCCAGAGGCCCCGGGCTTGTCCCTACCCCTGGCCAGCCAGTGTCCTCACGTCGGGCAGTGCTCACAGCCGCCACAGGCAGAGTGTGCGAGGGGGCAGGGCAGAGACCAAGCTTTGTGCTGGCTGCTGACCAGATACTGGCCAGGCCACAGCCTCAGCCGGCTCCCCACCCAGGAGAGGTGGCAACCGAGAGTGGGGACCATCGAGTTGGTGCGATAGGGCTGTGTCCTCAGGCAACCCCTTTCCTCTCGGCAATTCTCTGCCCTGGTGTTTGTGCTAATAGGTCTCCACTCCCTTTCTCCCTCCCTTGCTTTCTTTCTATACTCCAGGCACCCCCTCATTATCAAATTACAACACTCAGCTGCCATCAAGCCGGTGCAGGTTGCTAGAGACCCGATAGGACAGGTTAGCACTGCCCCTGTGGGGTCCCAGGGCTGCAGGAACTCTCTACGGGGGAGCAAAGCCTCCCTTTCCTCCCGTGCAGCGGCTGGTGGACTTGAAGGGCTGAGCTGGAGGGGAGCCACCCCACAGCTAACTCAGGATGCTGCCGGAGATGAGCGGCATCTCCCACCCCCTCTCGGATCGCTGGGAATCCCTGCTGACGGCCGCCATGCAGCTTGTGTCCGGTGCCCACCGTGGTATGCCTGCCTCCTTGGTAGAGATGGCTGTTTCCCAGACAGGAA